ACAAGTCTATTATAACCCCATAATGGGAGACGAGGTGGCCGAGCGGTCTAACGCGTCGGCTATGGCTCAGCCGGAACAGGTTCAATCCTCGACCATCAGGCGGCATTTTTCTCCGGGCAAGTCACGGTGTCTGGAGAACAAGTGCCGCCATCCCCCACTCTGGGGCATGGCAGAAACCTACCGGTGTGCCCATTAGGAATTCTGCCAAACAGGCCTCCGGTATAGGTTAGGTTAGTACACCCAGACAATAACGCCATACGAGTATTTTTTTAACCCCATAATCACTCATTAAATAACAGGATCAGAAACATTAAACCTACTTATACCATTTTTCTWAGAATTAAACAATTTTTCAAATTCATAATTTTGCGTATTGCGCTATTTTAATAACTATAGTATTTTAAATATGCAATAATATGCAACAAACATATTTGGATTTTAGGTGTAATTATGTAATATGAAACAGATTCATATCAAATCACATTTTGATTTGAAATTTCCTAAGAAGAAGACAAATGCATGAAGTTTCAAATCATAGTATAATAACATTTAATTTTATAAAAATAAATATTTAAGAATGAAAGAAATTCAACATAAAATACTTATAACAATGTCAGATTAGGTATCTAAAGGTCCAAAGATTTTTTCTCAAATGGAGACACCATAAGAAAAAAAATGAAGAAACTCTTTACCAACAAAATAATTGTTACAGATTATGTCTAAAAAGCACCAGAATGCTTAACAAAAAATTAGATTTGCAATGTTAAGGTTATCAGTTTCAACATAATAGTGTTAAAATAAATTTAACAATTTCTTAAAAAATGGCATACCCCTGAAATAGTCATATATGTATAGTTCTCGCATGTTTATGACTGCATATTTTTTTTGAGCAACCAAAATTATACCAGAGTATGATATAAATTCATGAAGTCTAGATTACTAAATACTAATATGCAAACTTATTTTGCATGTTTGATATTTTTGAGCATATAAATACATATATTAAACATATATTGAATATTTCTGCATTATTTAGCATATGTATATAATATTAAAAATTGTCCACATTGTTATCATTTACCATCATTCATTTGTGAAACTTCATCAAATAAAAAATTATCGCTAACATTTTTCTGTTTATGAGTGACATACTTATAGAATTAGAAGATTAGATATTTATAAGCCAGTAACACAGTGGCATGGAAACTGAAGACATTGTTAAATATTTAAGTATGCACTGATCAACTCTGAAAATGAGAAGTGGTTGTTTTCAATTTATAAAAATATATTGTCAGATCRTTGAAGATCTTTCAAATAGTAAAAAATATCAGAAAAATAATTGTTACWGCGTAATCCTGATACTTAAAGTACCAAACCCATGTTAAGTTTAACTTTAATAGATAAGAATCTAATTAATCATATTTTCATATTTAATAACTGTATATTTTGTAATAAAGTAATTTTAAATACACTATACTCATTTAAAAAGAATAATTTTTTTTTAAATTAATGTTTACCCTTTTTAGCATATTTTTGTTGAAAAAATAGGTATATTTAATATATTTTATGGCTTATAATCGCAGATTTTGACTTTATTAAATGCATATTTTAATGACATTTTGGTCATTAACATCCGAGCTTTAGTCATATATTATTAAAACCAAGGGATTTAGATGAAAACATCTTCAGTGATACTTAAAAATCCAATTTTTTTAAGGATATAAAGTGAACAAATAGGTGAATAATGAGTCAAAGATAATTAAATAGGAATTCTGTCAACACTTCTAGGAGAAAAAAGATGAAGACAAAAACTCTGGTCTAAAAGAAATTAAAAAAAAATCCAAAAGTTCTAACTATTCAATTCATAAAATTTACATTTAAAATAAAAATAATAATATATATTTGATGTTATAAGCACAATTAGTTAATGTAATTACCAAAACTATTATTTATTAATTTTGATTCCATGAATTAAATAATTTGTATTTTTGGACTATTTATCTGGATTTTTTCAAATTAGACTTTTTTTCTGGGGTTTAATTAAATTAAACATGATTTAAATAAACATACTTAAGCTTTCAATATAAGAGTCAGAAATTTCTGGACAAGAATCTTCAGAAGTACAGTCTTCTTCAAATTCATTACCTATAAATAGAACAATATATTATAAAGTATAGAGAAAAAATACAATAGTTTTATACATACTAATGGAATAACAATAATTGGGATACATTAATGGTTGGTCATGTCCAGAACAAAATTGTATTAAAATCCTCATAACCTGAACAACATGATCTATTGATGGCCTAACATTTGGATTTTGATCCCAACACCTTTAAAAACAATATACAAGATAGTAAATTATTGAAATTAATTTGAAAAAAATATGATCCAATATGCTATATCTCTACAATTCAATTTTATTACTTAAAGCTAATAATTTTTATTGAATGCTATCAGAAAATACTTGTTGAATTTAGTTGAATTAATTTTCATGTGTACATTATATTATTATTGAACTTTTAAAGCAATGTTTGTATTAAAAACATAAAAAAAATTCTATAAATATTTAAACTATAGTGATTATTAAATTATTTGTTGTCCTTAAAACAAGGAAATCAAATACACAATAAAACATTATGTTGTTTATTAAAAAACAAATAATTAAAAATAAAGGAAATTATAGTAATTTAATGAAACAACTAACAATCAAAGAATAGTGTTTATTGTATTGTATGATTAAAACACATTGATCACTCTTACAGTTTTTAAAGGATATGTAACATATTTTTATTATATTTATTCAATAAAGTTGCTGGTATTTTTCTCTGATTAACTACTGGAGATTGTTTAAGTAGAGGAAATATTTGTGGGTGAYCTGCATATCATCAACAAAAATTGATTGTAGATCAGGTCATTTCTTAAGTCGAATAGAGTAGAGTATGAAGATACCAGATTTAGGTAGATTTATACATTACTATTTAACTAAGTAGCATATATGATCATATTAAAAAAAAATATTTGTGTAATTATTTCCTACTCAGTAATCAATTCCTGGAACGGTCGAGGACATTGTTCAAATATTGGTGGTCTGGTTCCTTTATGTACAGCCCACATAATTCCATAAGCAGATCCTCCAATTTCATTAAATGGTTTCAGCCTTGTTAGAACTTGCCATAAAATAATACCCCAGCTATATATATCACATTTTTCAGTATAATTTGAACCTTAATAAAATATAATATTAATGGTAAAAAACTATTGCAATACAAATTATTAATTTCAAACCTTCAAATACTTCAGGTGCCATCCAAGCAGCACTACCTTTATTGTTGGTCATATATGTTTTTTTATCACAAGCAGTTCCAAAATCACATATTTTTAATGTTTTTCCTTCATTCACTAAGAGTAAATTTGGTGGCTTTAAATCGCTAAAAAAAAAATCATATTTTATGTATTCTATTTAGCTTTAAATGTTTATAGTTTATAAATCACAAATATAATTTGGTACCGGTGAATTAATGGTTTAGGTTTCATATTATGAAGATATGCTACACCTTMAGCACATTGTAATGTCCAACTAACAGCATGTCCCAAGTTGTATTGAGGTTCAGGTTTACAATGTAAWACTATTAACATTTATCACAAAATACAATTAAAACATATTTAAATGATATTAATAGTCAGTAGAGTAATATATTAGAAGACAATTAGACTAAAATTTATTTTCTTTATTCATTATATTTTAAAATACGAAGATTGAAAAATAAATTAGGACTTTAGGTAAAAACCAGTGCAATACCATTATTGCACTGATTTTTTCTATCATTATTTTGTATAAATTTAAAATTTTAGTTTTTTCAATAAATACAATCTAACCGTTGTATAATGATCCTCCTTCTGCAAATTCCATAACTAAACATACAGGATTTGATGTGCATGCACCATATAGTTTGACAATATTAGGATGGTTGACTCGAGACAACTGTCGAACTTCGATTGTAAATGCTTTACGCTCAGCTTCAGTATCTATGTGTTTGACAGCCACATAGTTGTTACGCCACCGTCCACGGTAAACAACACCAAATGACCCTTTGCCAACAATCTACATAGGTAGCATAAAATAACACTGTCAATATATTTTAGACACCAAAAACACTATTATAGATATAAATTATGTACTTCAAGTTTTTCAATTTCATCGTAATCAATTTCTTCCACAAACTTTTGTTTGTGTCCGTGTGTCTCTTTAATAGCCATTTGATTTGTGCAAGTGCCTCGGATGGCATAGGATGTGTTCGGCACCGTACATCGCCCAAATAAACTGTGTAAATGTTGAAAAGAATGGATTAACAAAATATCAATACGCTTATGTATTTTATTATTTTTTTAAATATATATATATATTTTTTTTTTTTTTTGTGTCTGTGTACAGCATAACTATTCGAAATAATGCTTCGATTTTTTTGAATTATTGTTATCCTTTCATCACTAGTGAGTACTGAGTTGTGAATGTTTTGATTGATTGATTGAATGATTGATAAAAAAAATAAAGTGATAAATAACTCTTAAATTACGTTTATTTTTATTAAAAAAAAATAATATAAGTCACGTGATTACACTCGCTTTATCATTGATTCAAGTTATACCCACAGMTAATAGATAATAGATAACGGAAACCATTGGCTGATCCGCCGAGAGGTATCTAACCATTAAACCAATAAACCATCAACGCACCTCGCAAATATAAAATACATTAGTTTTTATTCTTTAATTTTTATTTGTATCATGAATTATGAATTAAATTACTAAGATAGGTAAATGGTAATCATAATTCATAATTATTAATATTTAATTCTTGTTTTGTTTTTTTGTATCAATTTGTAAATTGTAATAACGATTTACTATTCAATTAAGTATTTAATATTCATGTCTTTTATCAATTTTCAATGCTTAGTCTCCTGAAAATAGATACCTTCTGAGAATTAAATAGAAAAAAAATGCGTGTAGAACGTAGTCAAAGCCCTACTGAGCAGGTTATCTAAGAAATATATTTTTAGTTCTAAAGAAAATAGTTTTCATTGTTGTCCATATTTAATTTGATTAGATGACCAGTATTTTAAATGAAGCTGCTGTGGCTCCTGATGAAAATACTAAACTTGATTTACTACTTAAGGCTAAAGAAGTGCTGTTGTATCAAGAACCAAAATTTTTACCACAATTTATTAATGATGTAATAGCGTATCAAAATGACCATAGTTCAACAATAAGAAAATTTGTTGTAGCGTTCATAGAAGAATGCTGGTAATTTAGTTTGAGAACTACTACTGTCAAAGGTATTTAATTACTTTTTTTTTCAGCAATAAAGACAAGTCGAATGTATGTGTCACATTACCAAATTTATTAATGTTACTGAAAGATCGATCACTTGTTGTCCAAAAAAGAGTGGTGCAAGCAGCTAGCAATATATACAGAGCTGGATTACAATGGATATCAATGATTGATTTACCTAGTTCTGATTTATCGAATGTATGGCAAGATTTATCAAATTTAAAATCGCATGTTATTAACATGATTGACAATGATAATGAAGGGTATTTAAGAGTTATTGTAAATTTTTCTCAACTATTATGAATAACCTAATTTAAATATATATATATATATTAGTATTCGTACTCAAGTAATTAAATTCATGGAAACAGTAATACTTGTACAAACATACAAAGGTGAAGGCGGTGTGGATCGTGAGAATGATATGTCACTTGAAGATATACCTTTAACTCTCAAAGTTACTCGCCGTAGAAGACTTGAAGATGAAGCAAAGTACTTACTATGCAATTACATTCTACTATATAAAACAAATAATATTATATTATATTGACAATGATTTTGATCTTAGGGTATTGTTTGATCTTCTGTCAAGATTTTGTCATTCTGGTAATGTAGGCTGTGCAAATTTAATGACTTGCATGGGATCATTAACACTGATTGCCAAATTTCGTGTGTCATTTATTGAAAAAGTCTTAACCACATTAGAAACATTAACTAGTAAGAAACATATAAAAAAGGTTTTCAAACAAATACAAATTAATTTGTATTTTTTTAATTAATCTTTTTTTTAGAAAATATACCAAATTCATTAACTCCGAGTCAATCAACCTCTGTTCAGAAAAATCTAAAGTTACAATTTTTAAGTTTATTGCGTCTCCCTGCTTCAACTGAACATCAGCAAACAATTGGGAGACTGTTATTAGATATTGGTGCTTCCAATCAAGAAGTAGTTTTACAAATATTTTATGATATATTTATTTTAAGTTCCATAACTTATTATTGTATTTAATTTTTAGATTATGAAAGCACTTCAAGTTTTGTCAAAAAATGAAGATAGTAAAAAGTTATTACGATCCTTAAAACGTAAAAATGATGACAAAGATGATAAAAAACTAGATAAAGATGACATTCCGGAAAAAAAGAGATGTACTGAAGGCACACCATCAGATCGACATATTAATTCAATTAAAACATGGGTTCTTGAAAAATTATCTCCAGAATCCATCACAAATCTTATTATGACATTCATGGTAAATATAAATAATTATACTTAGATACATAGTTATTTTTTTAGTTCTGAACCGTGCTCACCATACTTTAGATTCTGGTGGTAAAATAAATGTATTGGTTTAATACCAGTTTTTTATGTATGTTATCAATTATAAATTATSACATCTTAAATCAGAAMAAAATGATTCTTTCTCTAACTTCTGGTTTCTGGTAGCCAATTAGATCTAGTTGAAACTTCCCTTAAATAATAAAAGTTATATTATAATTCAAAAAATATTAATTGTTAATACTTGAAACTTTTCGGTATTATTTATAGACAATATTATTTTTAATGCACAGTCAATTTTTCAAAATATTAAGAATAATTTAAAACTATTTATTATATTAACACCATTCTACTGTATTTAAGTATTTACTTACAAGTTAATAACAATATTATGTGACATCATTTTTAAACAATTGATAGCGTATCATAATATGTAGAGAGCAGATTTTTAGATTTTCACTTATATTTATGGATTCTAGGACAAAATATCCAAATTTATCCGTTGTTACGTATATTAATAGATTATAATTTACTTTCTAATAAAATTAACGCAAATATCAAATTATTTAATTATAAAAATATACCTATATAATTAATATATTATATAATATATAAATTACTTTAGTTGTAATAATATCACAAAATATACTGCACACACATTAGTAAAATAGCCAAATAATATACTACACTATTTTCTAAAAATTTAGAAAATCATTTTTAAAAATTTACTAATTAGTAATTACTAATTATTACGAATTGTCAAATAAATTACATTAATAGTACCTAATAACATCATAAACTATACTGCACACACATTAGTCAAACCCCTGCTTTGAGTTTTTAATTGTTGTTGATATATGTCTATATATATATATATATATTAATTACAATATATATAATATTAACAAAACTCGCCAAGCGGCCAAGCTCAGCTCATGGATCGACGCGCAGTGTACATAAACGCACATTTTTTTTTAAACATTTTTAAATTTTTAGAAAATAGTGTAGGTAGACATTTTTGTAGCACATTATTCCTGTATTCATAAAAACAAATTGTTTTACATTTTATTTTATATTATTTGACTATTAGACTAATGCATGTGCAGTATATTTTGTGATATTATTATACTAGTAACATAATTTATATATTTAATATTTAGGAGTTAATTTTATTAGAAAGTAAAGTGTAATCTACTAATTTACGTAAAATATGGATATTTTGACCGATTACCATATTTATGAACTATACAGCTCATTGTGAATGACTTATCTATTATAATTTGTTTTGCATTGTAAAGCCTATTTTAAATATAAGAGAATAATTCAACCTATATTTCATACTCAAAGTATATTATAGTTCATTAAATAATCATATTTGTTATATTTCCGAATAGAAGTTAAAAATGATCGAATTGGTCAATAACTTGCTTGTAATTAAATCACTATTTACTTAAATGTGATTAAATTTAATTAATTTACTAAATAAAAGGTGTACAATAATTATTTCCAAGTTTGAGCTTAATATTATTACAGAATGTTTAGTAGCTAGATTGGTAATGTAAATATTATAAATGTTTAACGTTTAATGTTGACATATACTATATTAAACATAATTTACTTTTTACTTTCTTATTATTAGAAGTTATGCACACATTTTTAAACTGTTTGAAAAAAAAAAAATATATTTTACCTGTTTAAGGATTATTAAGAGAATATTTTGAGGATTATATTTACATATGTTTGGCAAAAATTAATACATCTTACCGTATTACTAATAGAARATAGAAAAGTCTTATAAATAAATTATAAAATGGCCTTAGAAATAAAGACTAACATAACATATTCTCTTATAATCATTCATTTGTATACAATGATTTRTCATTCATATCCATAAATTTATTGYCATAAAATTGCCTGGATGGTTGCTTCATTAAAATAATAATTTATTGAATATTTGAATATTTTATCAATGAGTAATCTCAATTATGATTACTCAATATATTAATTTAATTATATTAATATTCTTAATGATAACGACATTAGTATCTATACAAAGCAAACTTTAAAGTTTAAATCCATTTAAAGGGATTGATTTAATATTTTTTGATGATGGTGATATCTACAATTTCCAAAACATTAGGATTCAATGTAATTCATAATACAATATWCATGGATAATCCTAATTAAAAATTGTCTTTTAATGTTACATTTTTCTAATAGTAGTTTTAATTTTAATTTATAGCCTAAATTACCATCAAAAATGCCCTCAGCTTTTGTAACAAATTATACTCCAATAGCTGCAGCTGGTACTGATAGCCACATAAAACATGTTGCAAAATTATTAGCTGCTCAGATTTGTGGATCAGATATTGTTATTCCTGATTTAAAGTACATAACTCTAAATGACGATGAATCATTAGAAGGAGTAAAAGAAGAAATTATAAAAATGGAGGAAGAAGATATACTTTTAGCTCAACCGGCAGAATTAAATACGAATAATTGTCAAATTGATCCTACTGAAGCTCAAGAACTATCTAATGATGCTTTACTTAGAGTTTTAGATACTAGTAAAATTGTTTTGTCAAAAAAGTTTAAAGAAGTGCACATTAAAGCTATAACTAAAGTGGCAGTTATGTGTAGTGATAATTTTCGTGACAGTAAGTAATACTTATTCATGTGTTTTGTTGAAAAAATAATTATGAACCTAGAATACATGTTTATTTATTCTTTGTTTAGTGATACTCGACTATATAAATCTGGATATCCCAAAAAATATGAATTTATGCTTATCATGGTTGTATGAAGAGTATAGTGTAAGTCAAGGATTTATTAAACTGCCAACAGCATTCAGAAATACTTTAACTTCAGAACAAAATTACAGTACTGTTTTATGCTCATTAATCAGAGGGGCATTAAATATTGGAGATCTCAAAGAAAAAGAAGAGTAAATTGAATTATTTTTACTGAAATAACATTTTGATAGATACTTTTGGTTTTAATTGTTATTTAAAATTTACAGTGCTATAACAACTTTTTATTTTGAAAGTCCATTTATTACTGATGATGCTGTAGATATTTTGAAAGAAATTTGTGGTGATCATGCGTTTGGTCTTTTCATTCTCAATGAATTGGTTACTAAACGTCCTCCAAGACAATTAGTGTATTTAAATGCACTTCTTTTCTTCACTTCACATAAGAATGATAAAGTAATGTATACTCAATATTTTATAAGTGTATTTAATGATTAAAGGTTGATAAAAAAAAATACTATAGTGAGACATCAATAAATACATACTAACCAGACATGTAACCATAAGAAACATATCATCCCACCACCAGACATAGTCTCTATTCTAAAATTTTAATATAAACATTATTATTAACTTATTATTTTAAAGATTTTGTTAAAAAATAACATTACGTGTTATTTTCCATAATATATTTTAATACTGACAATCAATTTTTACTACAAAAACACAACCATTAAAAAAAACAAAATATGTGATGTTTAAAGATCCTTGGTAAATCGCCTTATTTTTTATATTTATTTATGTGCAAATATGAAATATTAATTCTATGCTACTATTATCTGTTAACAATATATTATTATTATTTACTTTTCTTTGTAAATGTTATAATGATAGATAAAGAGGTGGCGAGATAATACATTTTATTTGTTGTGGTGGTGGGAAGATTAAAATCAAGTACTTAATTTCCTTGCAACAATACAGGTTTTTCCACTAAGTTTTGAGATTTGAAATGTTCTCTAACTTGTGTTTAATAGATTATAGAACAGTCATGATATCTTATATGTACAAAAAGTATACTAAACTCTTAAAGTTCTACAGAAGACCATAGATAACCAAAAGTTAACTGTATTTTAATTGTGTAATATCAATATTAAACTGTACATGTACAATGTACACAATAATATAATCATTCATCATTTATTTTATTTCCAATTACAGGAAAAATTGTATTTTTATTAAATATAAATACTTAAAGAAAAAAAAGCTTAATATCTTTGTTGACCAGTTGAATTGTGTTAAATATTTTTAGCTTCGAGAGATTGCGTTGAATTTTATCAGTAAATTGTATAAAAATAAGGATTTGAAAAATATTATTGAAGAATATGCTACTTTTTATTTGGGATTCTTAAGATTACAACTTCCCCCTGATGTACTCTTTGGTCATGAAACAGGCCGATTGGTCAAATCTGAAGTGTGGGATGAAGACTCAACTACAGCTTGCTTATACCTATATTTCATGTTAATGGCCGATAATTATGAACTTATTCATGAGTATGATTTTTATTCTTAATTCAATAATCTAACTTATGCAGTTAAATAATATGTATAATATATTTTATGATGCATTAGATTAGCSTCTGTATTTTCCAACTCGCAAGGAGAAGTAAAACGTTCAATCATAAAACTTTTACCACAACCTATTCAAAATATGCCAATGAATTCAGCTGAAATGTTTAGACTTCTTGAAGATATACCAAAAGGGTCTGAAACGATGATAACTAGAGTATTGCATACTATTACTGAAAAAGGTAAGTTGCTATTTTTAAGGACACATTACAAAATAATTTATGATAAAATGTCCATGGATAATAATGATTAAAACCAAACGGCTGGATCATTTGATCAGCTGACTACTTGATAGTTGGTTCTTTCATGGATATAGTTAAGAGTAAGTTATAAATGTTAAATGAAATAAATTAAACAAAAAATAATAAACTTTTACTTAATATTTTTAATACACATGATTTCAGTGGCGCCAAAGTCCAAAATTTTACCTATGACATTAGACACCTCCACATAAAATTTTGACACCCTCCTATTTCTTATAATTACCTTACCTTATAGTTTTTATGAAATAAACTTTTAGTTTACAATTGACAGTAATATCTAATACATGCAATTATCCATATCGTAATATATTTAAAATGACAAACGTAACCCTCCTACCTACTAAAATCATCTATGACAGCTGTCATAGGTAAATATATATTTTGGTGCCACTGCATGATTTTTAGTATTTGTACTATATATATTTTATAAAATTTACATAAACAATATTAYACTTCATTCACTTTATTAAGTAAAAAATGTTATAAGTCTWAATRAAATATAATTTTGGTTATTGTGTCCAACATTTTCAAAATAATATTCATGTATTAAGATTATTGGGGAGGAGATTTATTTTTATTTTTTGATAGTTTATAACTATGATTCCACTTTATCAAATTCGTGTAAAGTTAAATGGAAATATAGTTTAATTTGTAAGTTTTAGATGGCCTATGTCATTTTATTGTTACCTACCTACCAATTAAATGTAAGAAATAACACAAAATAGTGTAATTGTAATCCAGCTATAGTCACAAAAACAATGAAGAATGAACATTTACATTTTGATACAAGTATACAACTATAGACTATTTGATTATGATAAATAATATTTAATAATGTTATAGGTTATAACCAGGTTTCAGGACTTATAGAATTTGCTTATTTTTATGGTTTGAAATAAAATTCAGCTGAGTGCTATGGAAGTGCATGGCATGTTACAACCATTTAATATTTAATTGTTTTTTTCATTTTTTTGGTAATTCAAAAAAAAATGCTTGCTCCCAACATTTCTGCTTTTTTGATAATTTTTTAATTTACAAATACATATTTCAATTTATTTCTGGGTACTTCTGCGTTATCGCGACTACCTTGATTTCACTTGTGCATTATCGCGACTATACCTTGATTTCGAACGCAACATATTTTTAATACGTTTATAATAATACAAAACTACCCATATAATCATATATTATATTTGATGACCCAAGACCAGTGTAGGCCACTGGATTTTAGATTTTAGACTACCCAGATTTTTCTCAATGGTTTTCCTCAACATTTGTTTTCGATAGAATGAAAGTGGAAGTAATTCTATTATTTTACTTCTAATGTTTCTAACTAACTTTTAAGTCACAATTTTG